CATCCCGTCCGAGGCCTTTCGGGGCGGGGCCTCGGCGAGAGTGCCTCGGTGAGAGGGCCTCGGTGAGAGTGCCTCGGCGAGAGGGCCTCGGCGGGGTGGGGAGCTTTTGGTCTTTTGCCTGAGGCCTCGGCGCAAGGCCTCGGGTGAATCGGAAAATCTGTTGAGACCTCGCGGTTTGATTTTTGCAAGGTTTAAGCAATATTTTTGGTTCTTGCTTGGGGTACCCCTTCTTGTGGTATCCGACACCCTTCTTCTCCCCGGTGCTCTCTTCCACTGTTCTTGGCAACTGCTTGAGGGCAGAAAGCGCGAGTGTAGGCAGAAAAGGTAAGGAGGGGCAGGGGCGTGGCTCGTCACGTATTTATGAGGGAGGAAAGAAGGCGAACGGGCGGGCGATGAAACCGGGAAGATTATTTCCCAGATCTAGCGCAGTTAATGCGGATTCGGCTAAACCACCCACGCACCCTACTTCTTCTCGCTAACCGCGCACGTACAGTAACGTCCCATCCGCAGCGACGGCAAGCGCCGTTCCGTCTCCCCGAGAAACCGCCTCAAAAGGTGCACCCACCGTCGTCAGCCGATGGGAAGGGAATATTTCCCACCCGATTCCTTTTAGACTAAGAACCGGGCACCGAGCCCATTACGGTCTAGGGGTTCGAAGGCTAGGCCCCCGAGGGTCTCGACAGCCGCCCCAGGACAAACAGAGTCAAGGATGACTAAGGGTGAGCCCGTACATGGCCGATGCCCTAAGTCATGTCCGAGACCGGCAGGGAGGTCTCTGAATGGGATCCCACCGTAGGGAGGCACTGAGCCCCCAGGGCCAATCGAACGACCCTAGGACCCACTAGAGAAGCCCTCTGGTACTTTTGGAGCGTGTCTCTGGACCGCTAGCCGACCCCTATCGAATGGGGCATGGGCCTCCACTTGGACTTACCCGTTAATAGCTCACCAGAGGTGTCACTCCTCGCCCGCCGATGGTAGCTTGACATACTCCACCCTCCTTTTGAGTGAAAAGGATGCACGAGGGCCGCACAAAAAAGACAGGAAAACTCCTGACCGCCCTCTTGCTCCGAGCGAGGCTTAGGGGCTCTTCCTGCGACCAAACCGAGGCCAGCGAACCGAACTCACACTCGGGGGCTCGGCATAAGGAACTGGGCACCGAGCCTGTTACGGTCCAGGGGTTCGAAGGCTAGGCCCCCGAGGGTCTCGACAGCCGCCCCAGGACAAACAGAGTCAGGGATGACTAAGGGCGAGCCCGTACATGGCCGAGGCCCAAGCAAGCAGTTGCTTGGAATGCCCTAAGTCATGTCTGAGACCGGCAGGGAGGTCTCTGAATGGGATCCCACCGTAGGGAGGCATCGAGCCCCCAGGGCCAATCGAACGGCCCTGGGACCCACTAGAGAAGCCCTCTGGTACTTTTGGAGCGCGTCTCTGGACCGCTAGCCGACCCCTATCGAATGGGGCACGGGCCTCCACTTAGACTTACCCGTTAACAAGCTCACCAGAGGTGTCACTGCTCGCCCGCCGAGGGTAGCCTGGCATACTCCACCCCTCCTTCCGAGCGAAAAGGATGTGCGAGGGCCGTGCAAAAAAGACAGGGAAACTCCTGACCGCCCTCTTGCTCCGAGCAGAGGCTCAGGGGCTCTTCCTGCGACCAAGCCAAGGCCCAACGACCCGAACTCGCACTCGGGGGCTCAACAAACGCAACAAAACCCCCCACTAACGACCCGAACTCGCACTCGGGAGCTCGACAAACGCAACAAAACCCCCCACTCAACAGGGAAAAAGCCCCTGGAGAAATAAATTCACTCCTCTAGGGCCTCGGGGGCTACACCCAGTGGATGCGCTCGCGCGCACCCACCGGAGCCTTGAGCACAAAACACAATCCTAACGGGAGCTGCTGCGAGCCAAGTCTTGTCAAAACCTCAGGGAGAGTGCTCACACTCCCCCCAAGGCTCGGGGGCTACTGTCGGATACCATAAAAAGGGGTACCCTTAGCAAGAACCAAAAAGATTGCTTAGACCTTGTAAATAACGAAACCAAAATACAACCGCAGGCAAACCCGCCACATCCGAGGCCCGGCTGGACCGTCCGGCCCACCTCGAACAAATATCCGGGCTCGACCGAGGCCCCACACCGCAAGGCCTCGAACGAGGTACCGGCTCGCCCGAGGCCCCACGCCGCAAGGCCTCGGATGAGGTACCGATTCTCTGACTCGCCCGAGGCCCCACACCGCAAGGCATCGGACGAGGTATCGATTCTCCGACTCGCCCAAGGCCCCGCGCCATGAGGCCTCGGACGAGCACCCAGTTACCGACTCGCTCGAGGCCGCCTCGGCATCAACCCCGTCACCACCGCCTTGACGGACTTCTCTGACGAGACGTCACATCCAACTAACACGTTCAACCACTCCCGCGACGTCAGCCGCACGACGGCACGGTACAGCGGAGTGGCCGACAAGACGGAAGTCACATCGACCCCATGCTATTCAAGACAGGACGGGGCGGGGGTTACCGGTCGCTGTGCTCGGCGCTGTGCCCACGACGAACACCCATGCCACGCTGTGCTGCCTAACCCCTGCCCAGGCATGGAAAGTCACGTCCGGGTCCCTATAGCCTCGAGACTCGTGCCCTCCGAGCCCCCCACGACGGTCCAGCCTCTGCATCGAACTGGGCCTCGGCTCTCTACGTTGTCAGCGCTCTAGGACCGGCACGTCGCCCGCAGTACGCGCCATGCCCTGCGTCGAACTGCAGGAGCTCCCATGTCGTGTACAGGGCCTAGCTCCTGTAGCCTCGAAATCAGCATACCCGCGCCATCGCATCATCCTGGTCTCGGCACTTCGTGCCGGTCAAACACACAGAGCCACCAGCACGCCTCCAACAGAAGAAGGCGCACCTGCCACCACAGGAGCTCCCACGTCGCACAGGATCAGGCATGACCGACGCGTCGCTCCAGTGCACGAAAGACAAGACCGCTCCACCGACTGCGCCGCGACAGTGACAAGCTGCAGGGCTTGGACATGCCGCCCTTGTCGAAGAACGCCACGTAGCAAATATATGTACCGCCCCTGTGCCTCCCCTCGACTATAAAAGGGAGTGACCAGGGCCGCTTCTAGAAAAAGGAGGCAAGCCACGCACAACACTCTGTAACACGCACACTCCTTTACTGCAAGAGATCAACATCTCAAGCAACCCACACTGCAATTCACAGAGACTTGGGGCTAGCTCCCTCTCTCGCCCATTTTGTAAGCCCCTACTACAAGCACCTCGGTGCAAGGAATACAAGATCGCTCTCTCAGACTGGATGTAGGGCACCTATTGCCTGAACCAGTATAAACTTTGTGTCTCTTTGCATCACCATCCGGGATTAGAAACACGCAGTACACTTTCACTAGTCGGTTGAGGACCCCCCGGTCCAAAACATCGACAAGTTCCTTCCCTCTGTCATGAGCGATGCATCTCTAGAGAATCTCAGAGGGGCTTCGGGCTTCGCTTATACAGCTGTCCCTCCACCACCATGAAGGATTTCACTTGGCGTGCCAAGCACTAAGCCTCGGTCTTGTTGGTTGGGAGGATGTCTTGGTTCACAAAGTCGAGGTAGAGACATGTCCAGTCAATGTCGATAGCCATTGCCTCACGCACCTCGGGGTGGCCTCGCGTAGGTCGACGGGACGGGGCTAGGGCGGTCTTATCCTCGAGTCAGATCGAGGGGGCCAGGAGCATGTTGAGAAAAACTCCTGGGGAAACCGCATCCCTTGGCGAGGGCGTCCGCTGCCCCATTGTCGCGCGCGAAGGACGTGGTGGAGTTCAAATCCACTGTCTGTCTTCCATCTTGCGGATTTCTCTGTAGTATGCCCCCATCTTCTCCTCACGATAGGTCAATTCCTTAATGACTTGGTTGACCACAAGCTCGGAGTCCTCTTCTAACATCAATATTTCACTATGTATTTGTTTTAGGTGACTTCCTCCCTTTCCCCTTCTAAAACTGATTACTAATAATCACGTTATATATACGACGACGCGATAGACGAGCCACAAGTAGTATAGTGAGACACCAGATGAGATGCTCCCCCTGCATTCTCTGATCGGCATCTATATATGACCAGACCCTGCAGGTTACATTGACTAGCTTTGTCAAAGGTCATCACAGGTGCTCCTCTAGACTGTTTCATCATCATAAAGGCTAGCGGAGTTCAAGATGGTTGCATGTATTGAGTCTAATTTCTTTGTCCGCCTGCCATTTTCTTCGGATTACTCTTAGCTTGCTTTAGTGCACTTGGGTTGATATTCTATAGAGCACTTTTGGTTTGGTTCTCATGCCAGAAGTATATTTATTATATCTAAACTATGATTCACAATTAAGCAATAGTCTTCTTTATTGATTTCTATTCCCATGTAAAAACCGACAAGTAATTCTTAATAAATTATCACAACAACGCGCGAGGTATCACCTAGTTCTTCCTATGGGCGTGGCTGTAGCTATTTTTGTGTATCATCTTTTGCTAGTTTGTTCTATATTACTCTCTCTATCTCAGAATAAGTGTCACTATAAGATGCGTGTTGGTCAAATTTAGAAAATATTAGTAATATTTGTATCTCCAAATAAGTTTGTTATGAAAATACATTCAATGATTCATCTAATGATACTAATTATGCACCATAAATATTAATACTTTTTATTCTTATATATATTTGGTTAAAGTTAAAAATATTTGAGACACCCATTTTATTATGGAGGGAGTATTTTGCAGCGACAGCAAAGAGCGCAACCGAGCGTACTCCTAACTGATCGACCAAGGTTTAGACATCCTAATAGGCCAAACGCTAGCTAACAAGGTAGGTCATCTTAGTTGATCTTCCCACTCACCCACCTTCAACTCTACGTTGCTCAAGACAAGTCCATGACATTGACATTAATGACATATGCCTGTTTACGCAGAAGACAGAACGTTACTCGAACTAAAGCCGGCAGATCACCAACGTCCCCCAGCAGACACACCAACTATGTCGATCACCAACCCAAAAAGCCCATGCGTATGCGGGGCCAGCACGCTCGGTGGCCAGAACGCAGAAGTGCGGAATGCACATAAGAGGACCTTCCTCACGTACAGAGACCAGGCTCGCCCTTCCAACCGGAGTAATCGTTTGCTGCAGCCTGCAGCTGCAGGGATGGCCGGCGTCCTGCCGAGGTTTGGCCCCTTCGGCCCTCTGCCACCACGGGATGAGTTCGGGATCAAGGAGACGAGGCCCCGTCTCGCCGGCGGGCGGGCCGGCGGGTACGACCTCGTGGAGCGGATGGAGTACCTGTACGTGCGCATCGTCAAGGCGCGGGACCTCAAGTGGAGTGGCGGCTTCGACCCGCTCACCGAGGTGAAGCTCGGGAGCTACTCCTGCGCCACGCGGCACATCGAGAAGACGACGAGCCCAGAGTGGAACGATGTGTTCGCGTTCTCGCGGGAGAGGCTCCAGGCGTCGTTCCTGGACGTGGTGGTCAAGGGCAAGGGCTTCGCCAAGGACGACTTCGTCGGTCGCCTGCGCTTCGACCTGGCCGACGCCCCCTTTCGTGTACCGCCCGACAGCGCGCTCGCGCCGCAGTGGTACCACGTCTTCGACAAGAAGGCGGAGCGCGGGGGCGAGGTGATGCTGGCCGTGTGGTTCGGCACGCAGGCCGACGAGTGCTTCCCGCTGGCGGTGCACGCGGACGCCGCGTTCGCCGTGGACGCCAAGCTAGCCGCGCACATCCGCTGCAAGCAGTACACCGTGCCGCGGCTCTGGTACGTGCGCGTCAACGTCATCGAGGCCCGCGACATCGCCTTCGTGGACAAGGCCCGCGTCGGCGAGGTGTTCGTGCGCACCAGGATTGCCGCGCAGGTGCACAAGACCAAGACGTGCGTCGCCCGGCTGCCGACGTGCGGCTGGAACGAGGACCACCTGTTCGTTGCCGCCGAGCCGTTCGAGGACCACCTCATCCTCTCCGTCGAGGACCGCGTCAAGGTCGACAAGGAGGAGGTCATTGGCCATGTACACATTCCGTTCAAAGAATTCGAACGACGGTGGGACGCGCGCCCAATTCGCCCAAGATGGTACGTGCATTTTTTTTTAGTTATATCAAGAAAGAAAAATCGAAGATTCATATACTATTTTCACCCAAAATATATCAAGCAAGCAAAACTTAATTGCGAATCGTCGACAGGTTTAATTTGGTGCGGCCAGAAGGAGCGGCCAAAATCGACAAGTTCTCTGCGAAGATATGCGTCCGGCTCTGCCTGGAAGGCGGATACAGAGTGCTGACAGAGCCCGTCCACTACCTGAGCGACGTCCGCCCGGCGGCGAGGGAGCTGTGGTGCCACCGGCCGCCCATTGGCCTCATCGAGCTCGGCATCCACAACGCGTTCGGCCTAAGCTCAATGCGCACGCGCGACGGGCGAGGCTCCTGCGACGCCTACTGCGTGGCCAAGTACGGCGTGAAGTGGTTCCGCACGCAAACCGTCATCGACAGCCTCGCGCCACGGTTCCACCAGCAGTGCTTCTGGGACGTGCACGACCACTGCACCGTGCTCACCGTCGCCGTCTTCCACAACTGCCAGATAGGCGAGAAGGGTGGCCTCGTGTCCGGCGACCCCGTCAAGGACATCCTCCTCGGCAAGGTGCGCATCCGGCTGTCGACGCTCGAGACCGGCCGCATCTACACGCACGCGTACCCTCTCATCTCCCTCCACGGCGGCGGCATCAAGAAGATGGGCGAGCTCCAGCTCGCCATGCGGTTCTCGAGCACGTCGATGCTGGGCCTGCTCCAGACGTACGCGCAGCCGCACCTGCCGCCGATGCACTACCACTGCCCGCTGTCCATCGTGCATCAGGAGACGCTGCGGCGGGAGGTGGTCGCGCTCATCGCGCACCGGCTGGGCCGGATGGACCCGCCGCTGCGGCAGGAGTGCGTCGAGCACCTCTGCGAGGCACACTCGCACCGGTGGAGCATGCGGCGCAGCAAGGCCCACTTCTTCCGCCTCATGGCGGCGCTGGCGCCCCTGTTCGCGGCGCTCAGGTGGTTCGTCGACATCTGCCACTGGAAGAACCCGGCGACCACCGTCGCGGTCCACATCATCTACGCCATGCTGGTGTGCTGCCCCAACCTCATCCTTCCCACCTTCTTCGTGTACAAGTTCGTGCTCGGCCTGTGGAACTACCGGCGCCGGCCGAGGCACCCGTGGCACGTCGACACCAAGGTGTCGCACGCCGAGATGGCGCACCTGGACGAGCTGGCCGAGGAGTTCGACGAGTTCCCGACGAAGTGTCCTCCCGATGTGGTCCGCATGCGGTACGACAGGCTGAGGAGCCTAGGGGCGCGGATACAGGAGATGGCCGGCGACGTCGCGTCCCACGCCGAGAGAGCGCGGTGCGCGATGACGTGGCGCGACCCCCGCCACGGCCATGTACCTCCTGGCGTGCCTGTTCCTTGCGGTGATCACCTTCCTGGCGCCGTTCCAGGCGGTGGCGCTGCTGACAGGTTTCTACCTGATGCGGCACCCGACGCTCCGGCAGAGGCTGCCCGACGTGCCGGCGAACTTCTTCCGGCGACTGCCCTGCAAGGTCGATTGCCTACTTTGATTGCGAATCAAATGATGTTTCAGTCTGTAAGACAGTAGTTTGATATTTTAGTGCGGTTCCTGTTGGCCTCTTCAAATCTAATGGTTGGTCTAGTACTACTACCATTTATAGAGGTTGCGACTTGCACAGCACGGTTTGCCGCTCGTGTAATACAATAAGTCAATACTAGTCCTTAGTCAAACATCCCGTACCAGATTTTCAGTTTGCAACTCATTTGCACTCCGAATTACGTTTAGCTTATCAACTGTACTTTTTCAATAAAAATAGTATTTTCTTCTCGTAACAAATCAGCCAACCATACTTTTCGGTCTCGCTTTTCGGCGAAGCGAAGGGGACCGCCGAGGCCCCGACCGAAACACAACCGTCAGATCTCATCTAAGCATCCTGTGTCCTTGAACTTCAGAATGACAACCAGCGCCCTTGTCCGGCAATGCCTCGCGCTCCTCCTCCGATCCAAAAGCTCCGCAACCCCGCTCGTTTCCACCACCACCGCGCAGCTCCACGCACTCCTCCTCACGTCCGGTCACCTCCACTGCGACAGCCTTCATCTCCTCTTATATTCTTACTGCGCATGTGGCCGTCCCTTCGACGCCCACAACCTGCTCGCTCAAATGCCCCAACCGGCCCCGGTTTCCGTCTCCAACACCCTCCTCCGCTCCTACACCGGCCTCGGCTTCCACCGACAGGCCCTCGCTCTCTACTCACAGATGCGCGCCTTCGACCACCTCACCTTCACCTTCGCCGCCAAGGCCTGTGCGGGCCTCCGCCTCAGGCGCCATGGGCGCGCCGTGCACGGTCGCGCCCTCGCCGCAGGCTTCGGCGGCGACGCCTACGTGCAGAACGCGCTCGTGTCCATGTATATGCGCTGCAGAGACGTGGTCGCGGCGGAGGCAGTGTTCGGCGCGCTGCGGAGCCGGACAACCGTGTCGTGGAACACGGTCATCACTGGATGTGTCAAGGACGGCCGCGCGGAGAGGGCGTTGGAGGTGTTCGAGACGATGGTTGGCCGTGGCGTGTGCATTGACCGTGCCACGGTTGTGTCAGTGCTGCCAGCTTGTGCACAAGCCAGGGACTTGCACACGGGGAGAGCTGTGCACCGGTTGGCTGAGGTGAGAGGCTTGGTGAACTATGTCGCGGTGAAGAATGCTCTGATCGACATGTATGGGAAGTGCGGGAGCCTGGAGGATGCAAGAAGGGTGTTCGATGAAGACAGCTATGATAAGGATGTCGTTTCTTGGACGGCGATGATTGGTGCACACGTGCTGAATTACCATGCGAGCAAGGCCTTCGCTCTTGGTTCTGAGATGCGGGTGACCAGTGAAGCACAGCCTAATGCTGTGACCATGGCGCATCTGCTCTCAGCTTGCGCCAGCTTGCTGTCAGGGAAGCATGCCAAGTGCACACATGCATTGTGCATTAGACTTGGGCTTGGATCAGATACTGTTGTCGAGACTGCACTTGTTCACTGTTACGCAAAATGTGGCTATATGGGGATGATAGACATGGTGGTCGAGAAAGGATCACGACGGACTGAAACATGGAATGCAGCAATATCTGGTTATACTCAAAGAGAACAGGGAAAGAAGGCTCTAGCACTGTTTAAGCAAATGCTTGCAGAATCAGTACGTCCAGATTCTGCAACAATGGCAAGCGTCATCCCAGCTTATGCAGAGTCTGCGGACCTGGTACAGGCAAAGAACATCCACTGCTGCTTACTAATTCGTGGATGTCTTGGGAGTACAGATATTGCCACTGGTCTAATCGATGTGTATGCCAAGGCTGGTGACTTGGGTGTCGTGTGGGAGCTCTTCCAGTGTTTGCCTGAAAAGGATGTTGTTTCCTGGACAACTGTCATCGCCAGATACGGAATGCACGGGCATGCCCAAACTGCCATCCTGCTATATTCAAGGATGGTGGAGCTGGGGGTGCTGCCGAACACCGTTACCATGGCCTCCTTGTTGTACTCTTGCAGCCACGCCGGCATGGTAGACGAAGGCCTCCGGCTGTTCAACGACATGCGGGGCGTCCATGGCCTGATGCCAAATGCAGAGCACTACTTGTGCCTGGTTGACATGCTTGGGCGTGCTGGGAGGATCGAGGAGGCCTACCGCCTCATCCAAGACATGCCATTCGAACCGAGCACGTCGGTGTGGAGCGCTCTGCTGGGTGCCTGTGTCCTCCACGAGAATGTTGAGTTCGGGGAGGTTGCTGCTAAACATTTGTTTGAGCTTGAACCGGATAACGTTGGGAATTATGTGCTCCTTGGGAAGGTATATGCTGCAGCTGACAGATGGAGCGATGTTCAGGATCTGCGGAGAGTGATGGAGGGAAGGGGTCTTCACAAAGATCCAGGATCTAGTGTAGTTGATGCGAAGTCTGAAGTGTGCTGAAGCTGAACCACGATACAGAGTCGTGTCTCGTGTGACAGACAGAAAGCAATGATTCTTTGATGTGTCAGTTTACAAAGAAAAAAAAATCGTATAACAAAGATGATGTATTAGTTGCTCTACAGGCCTACAGCTAGCTAGTACTCCCTCCATTCCAATTGCTTTACAGGCCTACAGCTAGCAAGTACTCCCTCCATTCCAATTGCTCTACAGGCCTACAGCTAACAAATACTCCCTCCATTCCAATTTCTAAATTATAAGATGTTTGGACTTTTCTAGATACATTTCTTTTGTTATACATCTAGATACGATGTATATGTAAGTATATAGAAAAAACTATATATTAAAAAAGTCAAAATGTCTTATAATTTGAAATGGTTTGAAATGGATGGAGTACTGTCTCGTAACACAGGAGAAGCGAGTACCATTTTCTCTTGGAGGACTTTTAAACTAATGCAGAAGAAAATGGTCGAGTGCACGCCGTGTCGCTTTGATGCTAGAAAGCAGACACGATTCTGCCGAGGCAGGAGAGGCTGCCAACGAATTATGGGGACGGGTGGTGGCGCGCATGTTGGTTGCGCACAAACGCTTCTGGTTCTCACACACCAAGGAGGGGACGTGCTTGGTCAAATGCCCCTCCCCGGACGACGGACGTGGTGGCATATCATGCAAGCCTCCATCCTGGTTGCCCACCCGCTCCCTCTCTATATCTGGCCTCCCCCTCCCCCTCTTTCAGGTCCTTGAAATCTCACCCCTCGTTGCAGACGCCCACATCCCTCTTTCTCTCCTCGCCGGCCGAACCGCTGGTTTCTCAACCAGAGGAAAAAAGGAAGGAAGAGATCGGAAGCATCAGCCATGGTGAGTACATCTGATCTGTTTCTTTCTCACAATGTTGTTCATTCAAGAGATGTTCCCTGATGTGGTGGATTCTGTCCTCATTGTAAGTCGAACTCGGCGTCTGGAATGGCCGTTTGTGATGAATGCAAACTCAAGTTCCTGGAACTCAAGGCGAAGAGGAGCTTCCGTTTCATCGTGTTCAAGATCAACGAGAACGTGCAGCAGGTGGTGGTGGACAGGCTTGGAGAGCCAGGTGAAAGCTACGATGCCTTCACTGCCTGCTTGCCCGCCGACGAGTGCCGCTACGCGGTGTTTGATTTTGACTTCGTCACTGATGAGAACTGCCAGAAGAGCAAGATCTTCTTCATCTCTTGGTAACTCTACAGCCTACGCATCTCTTTTTGGTTTGATTTTGTTCTTCGATGAAAACTTTGATATGGTACGACTTTGATCGGTGATGATTGCTGCCTCGAATCCTGAGTTTACATGTGATTTTTTCCCCTAAGAGGATCATCTATAAATTTAGCTTATTGCAGTTTGGTCATTGTTTTTTTTTTGGCAGCATTGTTTCAACCTTTGCGACGTGATCTTGAACAAATTATCACATTAAGCACCAAAAATATTATTTATAGAATGAAAAAAAGGCATCAATCAATATGTTTTCTAATCAACCATTATTGGATCTGTGGTTGGATAGATTAGCAATTTACTACAAGGGAAAAAAAACAGAAGAAAAAACCTGAGTTCCGCAACACAACTCTATTTCTCAAGACAAATATAACTACAATTTCTGTAACTACTAAAATTGTCCATGTTTTTATAAATTGTCCATGTTCATGAGAATATGTGGTTTTTAAAGGTAAAATATCATGTCCAAACACTAATTTTAATTGTCCTTAATCCTTCACCAGTTAAGTGATTGCAGGAAATAAACTGATAGGAAATATTAATGCATGCAATAGAGATGTATGATAGACGATTGGCCAATTACTGCGTTCGAAATGCCGTGCATCTTAAGAAACTGAAACTAAGCATCTCAAGGAACTCATATGAAATCTTTTTTGAACGCAAGAACTCATATGAAATCTCTAATGCACCTTTATATGTTACAGATGCTAACATCCAGGCAGATGCTGCCATGACCTTTTCCCCTCTGCTGAATTTTGTGGAGCCAGGCAATTTAGCAGCGTGGAGTCAGAACAAATACTTACAGTCTACAGGCAGTTCCATATAAATCTTTATTTTCCACCAAGATAAACATAAATCTTTGGTCGAATGCATTGGCCAAAGGTCATTAGATTCTTAAGCATGATTAAGCAAAAAAATTAGACACGCTACCTTTGCTGGTAATATGGATAGCATATTTCTATGTGTGACACTGCGCAGAAACGAGATTGAGTCTGCTACAAAGGAAACTTGAACACTGAATCGGTGTGCTTTTGCATCAAACTCTCATGCAGGGCCCCAGATGCATCGAGGGTGAGAAGCAAGATGCTGTACGCAAGCTCCAAGGACCGGTTCAAGAGGGAGCTCGACGGCATTCAGGTGGAGCTCCAAGCAACTGACCCGAGTGAAATGAGCATGGACATCATCAAGTCGCGAGCCCTCTGAAACAGCCCGGCCACTGCATGCTGCAGGGGCGCATCAGCTCCTGCATGCCCGTCGATTCCTTCTGTGTTGGATCCGTTTTCGTGTCCTTGTTTTCCTGGAAGCAAAAGCCTTGCATTCTGTATGAGACTGTATGCCATTTTCCCTCTTTTTTCCCCTATCTCTGCCGTAGTTCTGCTACTGCTGTAAACTAGAACTTATTTGGTGTTTTATCTCGTGGCATTGTCGAATCTTTTATGTGTCTATGCAATGCTAGTTGTGAAGCCTAATGTACCCTAGTTTAATCACCGAATTGCTAAACGTAAGATGTCTTATTTGTTGGTCTTACGTATGTGTATTGCTGCAAATAGTCCTTTTAATTGTTGGTCTTAATCAATATAATATAATTAATTTTAATATTCATTAATGCAACATATATTCATTAATGCAGTTTTCACACTCGAAAATGAATATTAAAATTAAACGAATCAAGGTCAATGCAAGTTCCATTGAGTTTCATTTGTGCTCTCTATCTTCATAAACACCCCAAAAAAATACCTTGCCAATAAGATTGGCATTCTATCATTCACCCCCAATCCTCATGAAACACGCTGAAAAAATACATAGAAATTTGAACATGCCGCCATAAATGTTTTTCTAAAAGAATTAGACAACCACACAAAGAAAAGCCTTTTCAAAAGTTAAAATTAACCACCTTTTATGGAGAACTATACGATAGGGTCAATTTCATCACTCAAAAGCAAAAAACTAGCATTAATTTGCTCGAGAATTTGTGTCGTATTCTTCCAGTTGTAGGGCCTCTTTGGCAGGACTTCAGCTCTGGCTTCGATGGTGCGGAGGAGCCAGAGGAGCCCTCTAAACATTTTAGGAGGAGGAGCCCTACCGAAAACATGCTCGTAGTCTTTCTCTCCCCCCCCCCCTCTCTTTTTAGAAAGAAGACTCACACGTGCGTCACACTCTAGTCTCCAACCATGGGCAAATGCGACACCTATCACAGACACAAGTACTATTGTGTTTTTGCGTAACTTGAAACCAATGCATGTGTGCAAATGGGTCAGCAGAATGGTGTCTTACGGTAACATGCAAGACCGAGTAGAATTTTGTAACACTCTTTGTTTTGCCGCATCGTAATTCACTAAAACTTGTAAATGTACAGCACGTTAAAATTTGACATGCTTGAATTGCAAATACCTATGCTGAAAATATTTCAAAAGGGTCCATATACATTTTCAAGTGCTTGTGTCTTTTTTGCCAAAATCTGTGATCAGATTTGAAACCTATTTGAGAAGTATCTTATTTTCACAATTATCTTCAACTTAAACCCAGCTTCCCTACTCTTTCGCACAGACCAAATATCTCTACCATTCTCCTTCATTTTTCTTCCCCTAAACCAGGTTGCCTCCTGCTGACCCACTCTGCTCATCCAGCCCTCTCTTCTCGATAGCTTTTAAGAGTTTAAGCTATAATCAAGGCATTGTTGACTCTCCTCGCCGAGCATCCAAGATTGTGGAGTGTCGTAGAACTAAAAGGATCTAGATGGTTAGAGGAGGGGGTGTGAATAGCCTATAAAAAATTCTCTATAAACTTACAAACACTAGAATAAGGTAGTTAGTAAAAATAACAAATCATAATGGTCACTATTTGACTAGCTCTATCTCACCCAAGCAAGCCCCTACACAATTTTAACAATTGAATTCTATACTAATTCACTTCACCATACAAGAGCTATCTACTAGCTAAACAAGGATACTCTAACTAGCTAAACTAGTGAGCAACTAAACTAGCTACTCTCCTACTAAAGCTACAACTAACTAGAGGGCTACTACTAGTAACAAGCAACTACCAACAAGCAAAGAAAGAATGGAAATACAAGTGGAGACCAATACCGAATTGGGCAAGAGATGAACACAATCAATTTATCCCCGTGGTCCGACTGCTTGCGTGCCGACACCGGCAACCTACGTCCACGTTGTTGCAAGTCTTAATGTGATGATTCGAGCGCTAATAACTAGCCGCTCAAGCTAGACCCACAACTTGGGTGCCTCAAGAATCAAGCACAAGAAGCACACCAACTAGCTATGAGCATTCCACTAGAGTATCCCTTAGAAAATCTGTGATGTGGGATCAAAAGCTCTCACAAATCACTGATCGGAGATGGAGAACAATCATCAACACTCCCCTCAACAATCATCGCTACTCCAAGCCGTTTAGGTGGCAGCAACCACCAATAGTAACAAGAAAACCGCAGCCCCAAACAATAAACTAGTGTCACTAGATGAAAATCAACTAAGCAAATGCCTCTTCCAATTTCAATTCAGATCAATCAACAAACAAGAGATGAGTGTCAGGTGTTCTTGAAAGCTTGCATAAGTGTTGGAATGCTTAGAAGAGTGCCAAGATAGCTCACCAGGAGCCAACCAACTAATAGGATATAGATGGCTAGAGGGAGGTGAATAGCCTATAATAATTTATCTACGAAGAGCACAAGACTAGAGCAAGTTGTTAGTATAAAATATGGTCCTAATAGCCACTACTTGCACTAGCTCTAGTTCACCCAAGCATGCCCCTACACAATTCTAGTAGCAATTGAGTTCTACTCTATGTCCCAACACCAAACATGAGTTACTAACTACACTAGAGAGCTAAACAAGCTAAGCAACTAAAGCTAGCTACTCAACTACAACTACTCTAGTGGACTACAACTACAAACAACTACTACACAACCACAAGATATGAAAGTAATGTGAGTGAGTAATAGCAAACCACTAAGGGCAAGAGATGCACACAAGATTTATCCCCATGGTTCTGTTGCTTGCTAGCAACCTATGTCCATGTTATGGCGAGCCTCAATGTGACAAACTACGCGCAAACTAGCCACTCAAGCTAGACCCACAACTTGGGTGCCACAAGGATCAATCAAAAACAACTAGCTACGAGCATTCCCCTAGAGTTGCTCTTCGCGATCTCCTGCAGAGACGAGCATAAGAGCCCCTTATAATTGCTCGATTGGAGGTGGCAACAATCACCAACAACACCTCTAAAAGCTCTAGTTTGGTTTTGGTGAATTGATGAAACCCTAAGTGCTAACCTAATTCATCTAAGTGATCATGAGATAGGTAGCACTACTCCAAGTGATGAAGCAACGGTGAAGATCATGATGATGGTGATGGCATGGTGATGATCAAATGCTTGGACTTAGAAAAGAAGAAAGAGAAAAATAAAAAGCACACGGCAAAGGTGAAATTTGATAGGAGCTTTTTTATTTTGGTGATCGAGACACTTAGTGAGTGTGATCACATTTAGGATCGATAGCCGTACTATTAAGAGGGGTGAAACTCGTATCGAAATGCGGTTATCAAAGTGCCACTAGATGCTCTAACTCATTGCATATGTATTTAGGATCTAGTGGAGAGCCAACACCCTTGAAAATGTTTGTGAAAATATGCTAACACACGTGCACGAAGTGTTACACTTGGTGGTTGGCACATTTAATCAAGGGTGGTGAAGTTTGGGGTAAAAAGGAGCTATTTCATATTGATCAGACTCTACCTTGGACAGTGACCGGACTTTGACCCTGCGTTCGGTTAGTGGTGCGTAGTGAAGGCCGCCCTCGGTCCTTTGACCGGATGCTGAGAAGAAATAGGACCGAACGTGTTGGGGTGCATCTGATCAGGCTATGACGTAGGCTAACGCAAGCATCAGAACAAGCCAGTGAGGACCGGACCTTGAGCCACATCCGGTCACCTATGATCGGACGCGTCTGGTCATGATTTTGCCTCTCTGGAACCTTACTAGAAACGGCCGGACTCTAGTGATGGAGCGTCCGGTCACTTTAAGCAGTGTGTTCGGTCGCAACTTAACACGTGGCGCGAAGTAGACTAGCCGTTAAGATCGGGCGCTCGACATTTGAGGTTGATGACATGTGGGGAGCATCGGGTGACCAGAGCTGGGGTCCTATGTCTGGTGAACTTGATCGGCGCGTCTGGTCAGCCCGTGTTTCACTGGTCAGAGGAGCCAACGGCTCTATTCGTGGGGGCTCTCTATTTAAGCCCCATGGCCGGCTCATGCTCACTCTCTTAGCCATTTACATTGACATAGCAACCTTGTGAGCTTAGCCAAAGCCCTCCCACTCATCTTCATCTTTGATTCGTCATCTTTGTGAGATTGGGAGAGAATCCAAGTGCATTGCTTAAGTGTTTGCATCTAGAGGCACTTGGTATTCGTGTTTTGCTGTGGGTTTGGCTTGTTACTCTTGGTGGTTGCCGCCACCTAGATGGCTTGGAGCAGCGGGATCATCGAGCAGAGGTTTGTGATTGTCTCTAGCTCCGATCATGGTGATTGTAAGGGGTTCTTGACCTTTCCCCAGCGGAGAGCCAAAAGGTACTCTAGTAAATTTTTCGTGGCTTGTGTGATCCTCATCTTGCGTTGGTTGTGCGGCACCCTATTGAGGGTTTGGCGTGTGATGCCAATTAGAGCGTGAATCTCCAAGTGAATGAATTGCCACAACGAGGACTAGCTTGTCGGCAAGCAAGTGAGCCTCGGTAAAAAATCATTGTGTCATCATTTGATTCCAAGGTGATTGGTCTTCATTGGTATTCATTCTTGTGATTGATTGGTTCATTCCTCGACTCGGCGGTATAACCATCTTGCTCTCTCTCTTTACATTTGAGGGCACTCAAGCCATGAAGGGTGCCAAGGCATATATCATGAAGGAGAAGTTTGCTAGTTTCAAGATGAAGGAGGATGAGAGTGTGCCGGAGATGTTCTATAGGTTACAAGTGCTTGTCAATGATCTCAAAGCACTTGGTGAGAAGGTGGAGGACAAGGACTTCTCCCATAAGTTCTTGAGATGCTTACCCTCAAGATTTGACACATTGGTCACTATTCTAGTGAGGAGTGGTTTGGACACTATGACACCAAACCAAGTGTTGGGAGATATAATGACCGATGATACATATAGAGATGATGATGAGAAGGAAGAAAAGAAAGAGAAGAAAGATGAG